GAGAAGATTAAGGAGTCTTCTTTCCGATTAGAATTCTCTATCGCAGAGCAAATAACTTATCTGGAAGAGTGCTGTGTTTAGCAGGAAACATACAAACGTTTGGAAAACAGATGAAAGGAAAAAGGTCAGAGTGACGTTCCACCTTCAAAATATGGCTCTAAAGAAATCAAGACACTTTATACTGGTTTGCAAAGAGATGCACATGATTTGTTTGGGCTTCATTGCTGTCAAATCAGAAGAGGAGGTAGGACCCCCCAGGTAGGAGGGGTCTCACTGTGGGGTAGCTTTTATTTGAGATGCCAGCAGGGACAAGTACACAGGAACCATTATAGTGCATGGAAGAGAGTGGTTAGGTGACAGCCAGGGGTCTGGGAGGACTTTGTGTGTATGGTGGGCACCCAGTGGGTACTCTGGTATGCCTAGTCCAAGAGTAATGGTAAAGCGCTCCTGCCTTGATCCCCTTCCCTTGTCCAGTGCACCTCCCTGCAGCCTTAGCCCCCCACACCCTTTCCTCCTCAGGACTCCATATCTTCATCACAAGCACCAGGCGTGGGCTTGCAGACCCCTGTCTCATAGGACAGCCTCACAAATCCTCAACCACTGTAGATCTCACCCTTGGTGAAGACTGGGACCTAAACCTGTTTTAGGTGCTGTAACCATCACCTGTACCACAGATGGGAGGGCTTAAAATGACAGGAATTTATTGTCTCATAGTTCAGAGTCCACAAGTTGGAATTAGGGTGTCAGGAGGCCATGCTTGCTCCAGAGCTGCTAGGAGAGGATCCTTCCTTGCCTTTTCCAGCTTCTGGGGCTCCAGATATCCCTTGGCTTGTGGCTGCAACACCCCAATCTCTGCCTGTGTCTCTGCAGAGCCGTAGCCTTCTCCGTATCTCAGATTTCCCTCTGCCTTTCTTTGATAAGAACACTTGCTATTCATTGGCTTTAGGGCACACCCGGATAACCCAGGATAATCTCACATCAAGATCCTTAATTCCATCTGCAAAGACTCTTTTTCTAAAACCTAAAGAGTTAAATAGAATGAGCAGGCATTTTCCTCTTCTTTCACTTTGGAAATCTGAAAGCTTTGAAAGTATAAATTTCACTCCTTCCTAAAAAGGTCAGGGTATAAGAATTTAACTCTTACCATATGCATGTAGCCACCAAAAGTTTTATTTTGCCCCGGGCCCATTCATTTGTAGACTTACTTGGGTTTAGGACTAAAGTTCCCAGCCTATGGCCTTGAAAGGTGAATAAAATGTGTATGACTGGCTTTCCCCATACATTTTTTCACAAGAGAAAGTCTGAAATCCAACATAGAAATTAGGAGGGATCTGGTGAATGACCCATGATTGATGCTTCAGTGTAAAGTGACAATCCAAGTCAAATAAACTACCAGAGAAACAACTTCCCATTTGTACTGTCCCTCCCAAGAGAGGAATAATACTTTAAATCCTACAAGAATCTTAAGTTGTTTTTCCTAACAAAGGTAATCACATGCATAAGGCAAAATAGTCCAGGAATTGAGCCTACCTACCACCTGTGACTTCTATCACCATTCCATGTGTTTGGAAGTACCAGAAGAATCCATTCCTTTATTACAAATACCCCTACCAGTTAATGTAACAGGGCTGGAACATGCCTGGGTGAGGGTACCTTCAGTACCTTCTATTAGGTGGGAGAGCTAAAGTTGAATAACTTGGTTTTGAGCCATTGGCACAGCTCTGACCTTTCCAGAGTGGCCAGTTGGCTCCTGGTTACAGCTTGAGAAGCACTGGGGCAGAGCTTTGCATTCAAATGGGGAATGGAGGGGTGGCACCTTGGTCCTGGGGGAAGACAGGCACATCCATGTTTGTCTTCCAGGAACCTAGCACCAGACCCTCAGGAAGTCTTAATGTTTTTGTTCAGCAAACAACAGAGCAAGTGACCACAGTATGCCCACTTTTCAGAAGAAATGTGGTGGGGGTAGACCTGGAAAACAGTTTACTCCTTTTTTTATTTTGAGACAGAGTCACACTCTGTTGCCCCAAGCTAGAGTGCCCTGGTGTCAACCTAGCTCACAGCAACATCAAATTCCTGTGTTCAAGCAATCAATCCTCTTGGCTCAGCCTCCTAAGCAGTTGGGACTATAGGCACCTGCCACAACATCAAGCTAATTTTTCTATTTTTAGTAGAGTCAGGGTTTTGCTCTTGTTTAGGCTGATCTGAAACTCCTGACCTAAAGTGATCCTTCCGTCTTGGCTTCCCAGGGTGCTAGGATTACAGGCTTGAGCCACTATGCCTGGCCTTGGCTTGCTCTTTGTGATGAGTAGGAGGTAGGATCCAGGACCTCCCGTACTGTCCTGAGAAGACAGCTGGGTGACTGCCGGTGAAATCAGCCTCTGTGACCATGCTGTCCACCCGGATCCCTCATCCATAGCATGAAGGCTCAGACAACCCATGCCTGGAACATCATCTTTTATACAAGAATTTGTTCCATTGGCCTGACAATGCCTAGTTTGCTGTCAGAGACTTGCAAGGCCAGTCACTGGAGAAGGGCCCCTGACTATGCTGTGGGCCTTGTGTTATCCAAGCCCACCCTTAGAACTGGGTACTATTGTGGAATTTTACCCAGAGCCCAGCAGCAGTTGGAGTCCAGGACGCCTGACTCTTTCATCCCTGACTCTTTCATGACATCTGGCAGCTTGCTTTCCCACATAACCTAACTGATTTGGGGGAGTCTTCACTTTGGCTTGGAAGAGCAGAGTTAGCCTCCTTCTCCTGCTAGTAGTGTAGCCAGGTGGGCCCAGAAGGATGCTATTAGGATGAGTAGTAAGTACAGGGCCTGTTAGCATGGACAGGGCTTAGCCTGGCAAGAGGGATAGAGATATTCCAGGGGCTTAGGGCTCTGAGGGATCTGCAGATCTACCGTGGTAACTGTATTTTATAACAGGGTATTTAGCAGATCATGAAATATTGCCTGTAGTATTTTATACCAGGTAAAAGCTTTCTTGTTCAGGCAGTGATATATAGGGAAGTTTCAAAAACTCATCAGCTGGTGTTATGAACAAAATATCTCATTTTATCATTTTATTTTCCATAAAAGTATCTATCAGTGACTGTTATAAATTATCTATGGCTTAGTGCTGAGGCTTTTTGAAACATCTAACCGGCATTGATTTTGAGCTCTTTGCGGTGTTCTTGCTGGTGTTTTATAAACCAATCACATTGGTGATAGGTCCAGCTACAATACTTCTGAGTGTTTTATCTTGTACACTAAGGATGCCTTTGAGATCAATCCCCACCCATCAGTGTGAGACTATCATAAGTGTTCAGCACGCCTCCCTTGGGATCATGTAGAGCAGGAAAGACTACCGAAGAAAGAAGAGAAATCCTCTCCCTTGCCCCATGGATGCCTGTCTGCTCAGCCTCAGGCAACTAACTCCTTATCTTGACAGCCATGCTAGCTGCCAGGAGCAGCCTGGAGTCACCAGCCTTGGATCACTTGGGCTCCCTCTCCTCTCCTCTCCTTCCTCTTGCCACATTCCTTCTCCTCTTTTACCCTCTTCCTGCCAACCTGTGCCACCGCCTCTAGACAGCCCACCTTGTTTGGAGGTTACCTTATACTCTTTGCTTGCTGGGAGTCCCCAACTGCAGTGCAGACACCTCAAGAGCAGGGGCTGGAAACTCATCCTCATCCTGGCCATCTTGGGCCCCAACACCAGGCAGAACTTTAGCGTCAGGCATTACAGAATCAGGTACAGCTCCAGCAGTAAGACTAAGGAAAACTTTTTTACTAAGGGCCTGTCAAGATTGTTTACAAGTGAAAATGTTTCTCCAGCTTGGTCAGAATGGTTGTGTGTCAGGCACTGGCTAGCACTTTGTGTACACTGGTTCATCTGCCACCCTCATGGCAACCAGGCATGTTCCCCACTCTGCAGGTGAACACACTAAAGCCCAGAACTTGACTGCCTGCTCCAGGTCATGCAGCTGATGAGCATGGCGCTGTGTTTGGAATCCAGGCAGCCTGGCTCCTAAATCCTTGCCCTTAAATATCAGTTATGCTGTCTCTTAAACTTTTTTCCTTGATTATGAAAGCAGATCATGCTGATTGAAAGAAATATGTAAATCATAAAAGTAATTAAAATTTTTTTAATTAGCAATAATGTCAACATCCAGAAATTGCTTCTATTAATATTTTGCTGTATCCTTTTCTAAGTTTTTTCTCTGTGCATGTTTTGGTACCGTGTTCCTAATGGCTGTCAAAAGTTTCAGTATATGGTTTATCATAATTTATTTATTCTTATCCTCACTATAAAGAAACTTCTAATAGCAATTTGACCAAACAGTGTCCTTATGCATTCATTTTTTATTTTTTGTTTTTTTTGAGACAGAGTCTTACTCTGTCCCCCAGGCTGGAGTACAGTGGTGTCAGCCTAGCTCACCAAACCACAAACTCTTGGCCTCAGGGGGATCCTCCTGCCTCAGCCTCCCAAGCACCTGGGACTGCAAAGACCCACCACAATGTCCAACTAGTTTTTCTATTTTTTGTAAGGATGGGATCTTGCTGTTGTTCAGGCTGATCTCAAACTCCTGGCCTCAAGCAATCCTCCCACCTCTGCCTCCTAGAGGGCTGGGATTAAAGGAATGAGCCACCATGCTTGGCCTCATTCCTTCCTCATACATGTATTTCCTTTTTCTTTAGGACAAGGATCACCAATTTATTGGTAATTTCATAAGGTCTTTCTTTCTTCTTCTTTTTTTTTTGATAGATTGCCTTTAACATCTATCAGAGGTGTTATTTCCCTTCTACACACACACTCAAGTGCATACACACACATAAGTTCTCATTTTGCAAATGTAGTCACTTTGAAGTAAAGATATGTCCTTAGGGCTTACCATCTAAAACATCTTCTATGATACAAATGTTCATGCAAAAGGAAACCTAAAGCATCTACAGAGAGGCCACATAAAATCAGGAAATTGTTTTTAAAATAGATAGTAACTGCTTTTCTTCCTGGTAGGTAAAGTGGCTCCAACAACAAGAAGTGAAACGCAGGGTGAAGAGGCAGGTGCGAAGTGACCCACAGGCCCTTTATTTCAATGACCCCATTTGGTCCAACATGTGGTACCTGGTGAGTAGGACAGGGCCCCTCTCAGGCTCAGGCATTTGCAGTGCTCTTGTTTGAAATGTGTCAGTTTCCCCCAACAAAGCTAAATTCCTGCATAGCTGCAGACAGACACACTTCATCCTGAGTGTGTAAAATGCCTCCTTCGTGGCTGTGTAGCACATGCTTTCTTGTGGTTGTTTTTCTGAACTTATGTGAAAGTCTAAGGGAGTTCTTTGACTAGGGTAGTGATTTGATGGAGGCTGTAAAATTAACTAACTGGTGACAATCAGCCCTGGACAGAGCCCCTGAGGGGAGATGATACCCTAGGAAAATGACAGACAGCCTGCAGGTGCAGAAAGAACAAAAGGAGCCCTCCAGATCTGAGTGGGGGAAAGAAGATCTTCACTAGATGAGGCAGGGCCAGATGTTTTCTCTCTGTTTACATGTAATTGTAAGTGGCTTCCTGTGGGCTGTGCACAGGATGTCCATTCTGTGGCACTGGAGGTGTGTCCATGTTGGTGACAGGGTGCTTTGTGTCTTCTGTACAGCATTGTGGTGACAAGAACAGTCGCTGCCGCTCAGAAATGAATGTCCAAGCAGCATGGAAGAGGGGCTACACGGGAAAAAACGTGGTGGTCACCATCCTCGATGATGGCATAGAACGGAATCACCCTGACCTGGCCCCAAATTATGTAAGTCAGTTAACATGCAAAGATATTCAGCTGTGCTCATCATTAAATAAATACCAGTTTGAAAAATAGTAGGGAGCTATTCCCCTCTCCCTTGTTAGATTAGGAAATAAAGGAAACCCTGCTGGGAGGATTAGAGGAACAAACATTCTGCTGCCTCCTACATTCTTATGCCAGGGACAGGGGTTTTGCAGAGGGATTCAGCCACATGTTTGAGAAGTAACATATACTTCTAGCAATGGAGCCTAAAGAACTAAGAAACAAAACAAAACAAAAAGAACTAAGAAACATATGCATAGAGATGGTCATCACATGGATATTAACAACGTAAACAGTTATAGGGTTAAGACATGGGCCCTGGGTTCAGACTGCCTAGGTCCCTTTCCTGGCTCTGGGACTTTTTAGCTCTGAGAACTTTGGGCGATGTGCTTAACTTCTCTGTGCCACAATGTTGCCATCTGTAATACAGAGTTAATAAAGGGACTGCCATCTAATACAGTTATTGTAAAGATTAATTAGTTTGAAATGTAAGGAGGAGAGTTTGGCATATGTAAATATGATAAATGCAGTAAATACTCTAAGGCAACAGTCCCCAGTGTTTTTGGCACCAGGGACTGGTTTCATTGAAGACAGTTTTTCCACAGATGCGAGTAATGGAATGGTTTGAAGATGATTTAAGTACATTGCATGTCCAGATCAAATCGTCAGGCATTAGGTTATCGTAAGGAGCTGCAACCTAGAATCTTGCATTTGTGCAGTTTATGGAAGGGTTTTCCCTCCTATAAGAATCTAATGCCACCACTGATTTGACAGGAGGCGGAGCTCATGTGGTGATGCAAGTGATGGGGAGTGACTGTAAATATAAATGAAGCTTCACTCATTTCCCCTGCCGCTCACCTCCTGCTGTGCAGCCTGGTTTCTAACAGGCCACAGATGGGTACCTGTGTGCCTGATAGAGGTTAAGTAAACTGTATTGTATCCATTTGATAGATAATTATGCAGCCCCTAGAAATAAGTTTTGAAAAAAAAAAAAGATGTTTTGAAGCCTACATCAACAACACTGGAAAGCTTTTATCCTATGTTTTAAAAGGATACAAAATTGCATGAATAGTATTATCACAAGTATGTAGACAAAAACATAACTATTAAAAATTATAAGGACATTATGCTAAGTGAAATAAGCCAGTCACATAAGGGTAGGTACTGACTCTACTTATATGAGGTACTTAGAGTGGTCAATTTAGTAGATAGAAAGTGGAATGGTGGTTGCCAGGAGCTGGGAGAGAGACATGGGGAGGTACAGAGTTTCAGTTTTGCAAGATGAGTAAAGCTCTGGAGTTGGATGGTGGAGTAGTTTCACAAAAATGTGAATGTATTTAATGCTATTTAACCACTTAAGAATAGTTAAGATGGTAAATTTCATGTTATGTATATTTTACCACAATAAAAATATATTCGAGATGATAGTTACAGCAAAAGAGAAACCCTATGTATTTTTCTCTATTTTCCCACAAAACATAAAAACAGTTTAAAACAGGGCTGTGATATATCGTACCATCTCTCTTCACTCACCAAGATTTAATTTCTTAGGATTCCTATGCAAGCTATGATGTCAATGGAAACGATTATGATCCGTCTCCACGATATGATGCCAGCAACGAAAATAAGTACGTAGCCTTGACTCCTCTTCCCGCACTTCTCTTCTCTCCTTCCCTCTTCCTGCAGAGCTGCAGTTAAATGTCACATGAGAGGTCCAGAGAGGTGACAGGCTGTCAGCACTTCTTCCCCAGCCAGGTGGTGGTGGGACTTTTCTAGGAGTCACAAGCCGCTCCAGGTACAGCTTTTCAGGTGCAAGGCAGCTCATATGCATTTAAAGATGTTTGACAAACATTGTTTCTATTTCCAATCTTCATGGAATATTTTATTTTACAGAGTCTCACTATGTCACCCTCAGTAGAGTGCCATGGCGTTACAGCTCACAGCAACCTCAAACTCATGGGCTTAAGTGATTTTCTTGCCTCAGCCTCCCAAGTAGCTGGGACTACGGTGCCCACCATAACACCTGCCTGTTGTTTTGGATACAGTTGTCATTGTTGTTTAGGAAGCCTGGACCAGGCTCGAACCTGCCAGCCTCGGTGTATGTGGCCAGTGCCCTACTCCCTAAGCTATGAGTGCTGAGTCCTTCGTAGAATATTTTAAAAGAATGATCCTTAAGTCTAGTGGTCTCCATGTCCAGCTATGTGAAGACAGCAGTTTGATCTATTCGCACATGGGTCACATGTTTCAGCTTTTGTGACTGTCTGTGACCTTATGAGAGAGTTGGAAAGGGCATGAGGAGGCGTGAGTGATGCTGGCACATCTGGGTGCAGATCCTTGCTCACCAAGGATCTGACTGTGTGGCCTTGTGCTCAGTGGGCAGCCTGTTTGAGACTTTATGTCTTAGTGTTTCTGAGGCTTCTCCATGTTGATGATGCTCCCTACCCCGCAGAGTTAATGGAGGGGTCAGCGTGCTGAGTATGAAGAATGCATACAGCAGGTAGTCAGAGTGGATGTTGTGTCACTATCATTTTGCAAGTGAAGGCAATGAGGTCTGGAGAGACCAGGCAACTCGTGCAGAGTAAATGGCAGCCCTGGGATTGCTCCTGTGTGCCTGCTTACTGTCTCTGCCTGTCCTTCCCCTGCCAGCAGGTCCCAGGCCCTGAGCTCTTATCCATTTTCCAAACATAACCAGAGGAAAATAACAAAAGCCCTTTCTTTCTTCTCTGGTGTTATCAAGATGCTTGCCAAGGTGTGTCCTCTCACCATAGTATTTTAGCTTGCATTTGATTTGATTCTGAGCTTTACATGTTGATGCTCACATGGTGCCGTGTTGGGAGGCTCAGCCCCGTGCATTCCACATAACAGGCTGCAGAGCCTCCAGCCTCACACATCCCACAGTGCTCTTCCCGGCCAGCAGTGGGGTCACCTGGGGCTAAGGGGCCTGATCATGGCTGCCCATCAGGAGAGCAGGGAGGAATGATCCAGATAACGTGCAGTTTAAGGGCAGGACTGAATCTCATCATAAGCCATGGGGGAGCAAGGCTGTGTGGGTTCCAAAGAACAACAGATAACTCCTTCTAAAGGGCTAGCACACAGGCTGAGACTATTTTTAAAGGTGACTTCAAATTTGAATCAGTGATTCTCATCCCCTCTGGTCTCTGCTCAGAGATTTGCTTTTTAAAGTTGCCCATATTTTGGCTCCATTAGAAGAATTGATTTGATATGGCCCATCAGAGAATGGGGACATTACTAAGAAAAGCAATGTCTTTTTCTGGTAGTTTCTTCATAGTCCTCCAGCTGCTGCTGAGTGTTTTATTTAGAATATTCTTCCTTGGCTCCTGCTTAAATGGCCATAGAAACGCAGGGAGGGCTGCCTTGGGGTGAGCGTGGTGTTGTAGGTACACAGGAGACAAGACATGAGACATCAGCACCAGTTTGTTTTTTCTTTCGTCCTGCCAGTCGGGCAAGCATTGATGCCACACCTGTGTGTGATGAGTGATATGTTGTAGGTCACAGGGGACACAGCTGTGGTCTCACCCCCATATGCGTAGTGGCAGTGTGCCAACACAAGTGCTGGGAGGAAGGAGTCAGGGCCACAGATGCCCCAACTCCAGCTTGGGGGCTAGGAAGCATCCTGGCACAGACAACCCCAAGTTAGCACTTGCCATCTGCAGGGTGGTGGGAAGGGCTGTACAAAGCCCCGGGTTGGGTACTTTCTCCCAGAGGACATGCAGAAATGGGGTCAGAATAGCTAACTCGCCTGTTGCACAAGAATTGAGCTTTGTACTGAATTCATTAGAGCTTTCAGGGCCGGGTCCTAATTTGGTTTTTCCCTTTGCTTCAGACATGGTACTCGTTGTGCAGGAGAAGTCGCTGCTTCAGCAAACAACTCTTACTGCATCGTGGGCATAGCATACAATGCAAAAATAGGAGGTAAGGCTGGGAAGGAACAGCCCAGGAGCTGAGCTGAGTGGGGTGGTCAGGTGGGGGTGGCCACTTTATAGCTTGCTGTTCTCAGTGGCCTCTGTCATTTAGTGTTGGCCTAGTCAGGCCCCTGGGCTGGAGGCAGCCATGCCTTTTGTGCCACAGCCCAGCCAGCACACAGTGTTTGTGGCCCCCAGGCAGAGAAATTGCTCACTATTTTACCTAAAGAGCCATTGCAGGTCTCATCAGAAAGGTACCCCTTTTCTCCCTTCCCCTCCTTCTAGTATGTTCACTGATTTCCTGCTGGTACCCAGACCACCCCTCCTGACAGACTATTAGTTCCCCTGCTCACAGTCCTTGAGGGACACCCTGTCACTACCCAGACAGAGTTATAGTCTTTCTATGGGATAAAGGCCTTTCCTAAGTCCCAACTCCCTTGCAAACCTAAGGGCTCACTTATGTCCTTGGCCTTGGCCTTAGCCAGAGGACATCTGTCATGGTATCCTGCAGACATGCCCAGTCTTCCCCATGTATTCCTGGGCTTCAATCCCATTCCCACCTCCCTCACTGTCTCTCCCCTTGGCTCAGCCCCCCCTTTAACTTATGGCCACTGCGTTCTGTGAAGTACTCCCTGAATCCTGTTGCATCCCCATCTCATTCACTAGGGATATCAGCTCTTCCGGGTCCCTTTAAGGAGCAGTGCCTGACCCCAATGTGTCTGGCTTTGTTATTTAGCTCCTCCCATTGGTAAGTCAAGCTGCTCTGGCCAGGTTGGGGCTTTGTAGTAGAGTCACATGTCTTTCTATTCCCTCCTGGACCCTGGCACTGTGACAGCTCAGTCCTCAAGTTTTCTGAAGTCCCCACCAGGTGTGGGCAGAAAGGAGGAGTGACAGATAGCCTCCCAGGGAGTGCCAGCCTCACCCCGGAGGCCTGTCTGCCTCTCAGTTTGAAAATGCTTGTGTTCACTCAGATAGTCGTGGTGGGAAGTCACCTTTCCAGGCCACAGTTGTTCCTGCCACTGAGGACAGGAACAGCTGGTGGACAGGTAGAATTGGTGAGGACATCTGCAGCTCCTTAAAAGCAGCATTATGTGGGGAGATTGGGTCAGGGGTTCCCTGAATCACCAGTCCTTGGGAAAATTCTTAAATGTCAAAAAGAGGGCCCATAGCTTTAACTTAATTAGGACTCCCTGCCTGCCTTTTCCTTGGAAATCTCTGAGGTGGCTGGGATCTGTCATTCTATAACAGAATTAGCCCTGAAGGGCATGTTCTGCAGGATAAATCCTGAGACTCTGTCAGCTGGCCTTACTCCTTAGTGGATAGTTCTCATACATGTATGAGTTCTCTCTGGAGAACTTTTGTTGATGAGAGAGGATCCCTGACAAGTCTCCCCAAGAAACTGGAGTCAGACTGACCTGGTACCAATTCCCTTCTCCCCACTCACTGACTGCGTGTCCTTAGACAACCTACATAACCTCTCTGAACCAAGGTTTCTTTGTCTGGGGGGGAAAATGGCAATAATGCAGCCGCCTCCCCAGGTTCGCTGTGATGACAAAGTCAGACACCATGTGTGAAATCACTGGCCCAGGGCTGAGTCTACAGGAAGTCACAGAGCTCTATCTATCCCTCTTGCTAAAACTCTCAGAGGGAGAGTCAAAATGATTTGTGTTGCTTTGAGTGAGGGGGTTGACCCCACCTTTGGGGTTGTCTGAGCCTTGCACTTCAAAGTCCCTAGAGTAGGAGCATTGACATCCTCAGGGAGCTGTTAGAAAGCCAAAAGGTCCCTACCCCAGACCTACTGAGTCAAAATCTGCACTGTGACAAGCTCCCTAGTGGAATTGTCTAGAAAGGACAATTTGAGAGATGCTGGTTTAGAGGACTGTCTGGGATCACACAGGTAGGTAGCACCTGCATCATAGGTTGTGGGGAAGAGTCAGTGGAAGTAGCGTATCTAAAGACCCTCCCAGAGAAGATGCACAGTTAATATAGTTTGTGTGATTAAATAGCTCTACACACATCACAGACTTGTGTAAATTTCCCAGATCTGGAGAGAGTGCCTTCACTTGCAGGACTTGGGAACAGAAATGTGTTTTAGTTAATCAGTTAAATGTCATTGAGCATGGGGCTGTGTGTATGATACAGGGCCAGCCATTGAGGGGGAGAAGCAGGAGGTGACAGACATAGTTTGAGGCCTCTAGTTGGGAGTTCAGCATGCCTTTGGCAGAAACCAACATGGAAGACAGCTCAGGACCATGTACTAAAATGAAGGGCAGTCCAGGAGTCACGAGAGTGGGCAGGGCAAATCACTCGTGAGGCAGAGGCATGAGAACGTGACTTGAGCTTGACGTGGGAGGATTTAGCTGCATATGGACTGCTGAGAAAACAGTGGGGTCTGCAGCATGGAGCTGGGGGGAGCTTGCCACAAAGAAATAGAGGACATGCAGTGGGGCTGTATGGGAAGGCAGGTGTGGGTCGAGACTTGCCTTGACTAAGGGATCTTATGACAACCATTCTCCAAAGCTGCTGTATACAGCTTCAGCTTTTCCACACAGGTGGACACCCTTTCCTTCTGCCTCCCTCCAAGCTCACTGCTGGGTGGGGTAACCTTTGGGTGCCCCTAACATAGTCTCTCTCTCTGAGTGTGCTGGCACCCAGCAGGAAGTTTCTCTGAGATGCCCCTGGAGCTAAGTTGGCACTCAGATTATAATGTCTATCCAATCTATCTGGAATTAATAGTATACTACTTTACGTCTAAATCTAAAATAGACTGTTTCAATTCACACTCATTCTCGTCCTTTGCGCTGTTGTTTTTATACATTTTACTTCATACATGATAAACCCACAGTACATTGATGTTATTCTTGCTTTAAACATTTGGCTGACTCTAAAATACTTAAGAAAAGAAATATGCTTACCGACATATGTACCATTCTGTGTGCTCTTCCTTACTTTTCCTAGCTTCAGATTTCCATTTGCTTCCTTTTTTTTCTTTTTTTTATAGCCTGAAGAATTTCTTTTAATATTTCTTGAGGTTCAGGTATGCTGGTGAGACATTTTCTCAGACTTTATCTGAAATAATCTTTACTTCACTTTCATTTTTAAAAGAAAATTTTCTGAATATAGCTTTCTGACTTTGACATGTTTTTCTTTCAACCCTTTAAAGATGTTATTCCATTGTCTCGTGGCATCAGTTGTTTCAGATGGTAATTCAGCTGTCATTCTTATTGTTGCTCCCCTTTGTGTAATGTCATTTGTTCCTCTTGCTGCTTTCATAATGTTTTTTCCCATCTATTGTTATCTATTATTTTCTAATGTCTTTTTTGTGTAAATTTCTTCATATTCCAGCTTGGAGTTCACTGTACTTCTTAGTGGGTGGTTCTTTTAAAATCACATGTGGAAATATTTTTGTCATTATTTCTTCAAATATTTTTCAATTCCACTTTTTCCTCTGCATTTTTGGGTACCAGTTATAGTTGTTAGGCTGCTTAATACATCTCACAGGTTATTGAGGTTTTATTTCTTAAAGTCCTTTTTTCTCTGTGTGCTTCAAATTAGAGCATTTCTATTGCAGAATGACTAATGCTTTCATTTGTTGTGTCTAGGCTGTTCTTATTTCTATTCGATGATTTTTCAAAATTTCAGGTATTGTATTTTTCTGTCTCTTAACTTCCATTTGGTGTTTTTTTTTATTGTTTTCAAATCTCTCCTGAGATTCCCCATCTCTTAATCCATTGTATGTATATTTTATTTTATATCCCTCAACAAGTTTTTAAGAGTCACTTTAAGTCTTTTGTACTAATCCCTATACCTAGGCCATTTGTGTATATGTTTCTAATGATTAACCTTTTTCTGTACAATGGGTCACATGCTCCTGTTTCTTCACACACATCTAGTAATTTCTATTATACTTTATTGACTGTGTTATATGTAGAGACTCTGGATTCTGTTGTCTTTGTCAAAATGCTCTTGAGATTTATTCTAGCAGGCAGTTAAATTTGAACTGGTGGAGACCTAATTATTCATTTTTTTTATGATTGGTCACTTTCTGATTTGTCTGTAGCCTTAGGAAAAATCCCTTAGTCAGGTATATAGTCTTTATTCTTAAACCATGGCCCTTTTGGTATTTCAGTGAAAAGCCTGAAATGTTCACCAAGAGCTCTAACCTAAGTGAGACTCAAACTCTGAGTTGACTCACCTGCTCAGCTCATTTAGCTTATTTCTTATTCAAAGAAAACTGTTGTTTTTTTTACTAGATTTCATAGAGTGTTGCCCATGTATAGTTCACAGGTCAGCTAAGTGGTTGAAAGGGGTTTGTATGTTCTCCTCTATATCTCTTCCTTTCTGAAATTTTTTCTCTCAATTTCTAGCTGCTCTAGAAGTCCCAAACTCCATCCCCTGACTCCTTAGGGGAATAAGATTACATGTCCCTAACCAAGTTCTAGCCTCTGTCCACTAAGATAAATGGGGTGTTTCCTTAGAGGAAAAGCCCTGTATACTTGGAACCGATATGGTTCTCTTCTTTAAGGAACTAAATACCTTGCCTGCCTCTTCTTCTGCCTTCTGCTTGCTCCCCAATGCACTCAAATAGATGGGTTTTTCAGGCTGGATGTATTGGCTAATGCCTATAATGTTACCATTCTGATAGGCTGAGGTGGGAGGATCATTTGAGCTCAGGAATTTGAGACCAGTCTGAGCAAGAATGAGACCCTGTCACTACTGAAAGTAGGAGAAAAATTATCTAGGCATTGTAGCCTGTAGCCCCCGCTACTCAGGAGGCTAAGGCAGGAAGATCGCTTGAACCCAAGAGTGTGAGGTTGCTGTGAGCTACAGTGATGCCACAGTACTCTAGCCTGGGCAACAGTGAGACTGTCTCAAAAAGAAGAAAAAAAAAGATGAGTTTTGATAAATAAATATTTGTCCAGAGTTTATCATTATTATCTTTAGAAGTCTTAGTCTGATATAAGCTACTTTGCCAATGTTGAAACTAAAATTTGTAGTTGTGTATTAGGT